GGAGGAGATTCAGGGTGGTGACAGTCAAAAACCAAAAACAACATACTTTGTGAGCAACAAAAGTAGTAACAACAACCCACCACCAGTGTTTTGGATCAGGAGATGAGAGTGAAGGACAGTGTGTATTTGTGAGAATGACAGACACACACCCAATGTGTGTGAGTGACAGGGATTTGTATTGCCAAGCTCCCTCCATCCCCTTCTGCGTGGAGATAGGGTACAGAAGTGAGGGGAGGAAGGACACCCTGACATCAGCATCCCCCTTTCTTCCTCCCATACACTGTACAGCAGAGAGGAGGCTTTCAAGGGGGCAGCTTCGAGGCAAAAGCAGGAGCAGCATGACAGTAGGTGGAGGGGCAACTGAAGTGCCAGCACTTGATAGCTTCCTAGCCAAACCAGTCAGGATCACCTGTCAGAGGCTCCAAGATCTACCGGTAGATACCGATCTACTGGTTGGTGACCACTGCCTTAAATGAACCAGGCCCATCATCACAAAGTTCCATTTTTCTATGACATCTGAATGCGAGCAAACATGTAACTCCTACACATTAAACATTTTCAAATTCCTTCCTAACTGTACTGCCCGTATTATAGAATCAGAAAATCATAGGCCTGAAGGAGACCTCAGGAGGTCATCAAGTCCAATCCTCTGCTAAAAGCAGGACCACCCCAACTGTATTATCCCAACCAGGGCTTTGTCAAGCCAGGACTTAAAAACCTCTAGGGATGGTGATTCCACCACCTCCCTAGGTATCCCATTCCAGAGCTTCACTACCCTCCCAGTAAAACAGTTTTTCCTAATGTCCAACACAGACCTCCACTGCAACTTGAGACTATTGCTCCTCATTCTGCCATCTGTCACTACTGAGAATAGCCTTTTTCTGTCCTCTTTGGCACCTCCCTTCAGGTAGTTAAAGACTGAAGCTATGCTAATACAAAAACCCATCATATAGGAATTGGTTTCCTTCCAGAGTTCCCCATTGCCAGTCCCTTTCTCACACATGTTAATAAAGACAGGGATGGCAAGAGAGGAACCCAGCAACTTTTGTTTCTGTTCCGTTGACATGAATTTAAAATAAATAGAGGGATTTATAGTCCCTTTTCATTTTACCTTTTCCTATGTTGTTTCATAAGACTTCTCTCTCCCTAGTCACTTGGATGTTGGAATTGACTGCAGCCTTTTTGCTACTAAAGAGTGCAGCCTCTTTCTCTAAGCGTGCATCTACTCATCAGGGCTTAACTCGAAATAAGCTATGCAAATCGTTCTACGTCAATGGTGTAGCTTATTTCGAAATAACTTATTTCAAAATCGGAAGCGTCTACACAACATTTATTTTGAAATAGAGCACTCTTCCTCCAACTTCCCTTACTCCTCGTACAATGATGGTTACAGGAGTTGGAGGAAGAAGCCCTCCAGCTTGACAGTATTTCAACACTATTTTGAAATAACTGCCTGCTGCGTAGACGTTGACTAAGTTATTTTGAAATAATGTTGCTGTGTGGACATACCCTACCCATATCTTATTTTATTTTGAAATAGGCTATTTACAGAGTGCCAAATTTCGAATATCTACACGGTGCCAAATTTTGAAATAAATCACTATTTCAAGACATCCCTTATTTCTCATGAAACGAGGTTTACAGGGATGCCAAAATAACATGGCCATTATTTTGAAAATTATTTCAAAATAGCAGATGCGGTCCTTGGACATGGGGTAGCAGAGGTATCCCGATAGCCTTGCAGTCTAGATGTACCCATATTCTTGTGCCAGAGGAACAATGGCAATGTTTTTTAGCATTTACAGTGCAGTAGCACCTTCTGGCCTCAACCAAGTTGTAGGCTTGTTGAACGAAGCACCACGAATTGCCTCTGCTCTTCAGAGATTACATGCAACATTACAATGCGGATTCAGCCAGATAATGATAATATGTAAATGGGGGAAAGCAGTAGTCCAGCAGATGGACTGGGCTAGCTACTCCTAGTTCAAAGAAGAGGAGATCTGCAGGGAAGTGCAGCTTACTCAAGAGAGGAGAGGCAGTGAGACTTGTGGTCGCCCCACTTCCATTATTTAATCCTTGGATATGAGATATTGGCCATCTGGTCTTACTTTCCAAGGATCCATACCTGAAAAATGGACCCTTGAACCTGTCATTTGAGTCAAGTTAACAACCCTTCCATAAATGCTCAGCAACGGTTTCAACTGGTTTGATAATTGCAGGTTAATTTGCTTCTATCAGGCTCCTGGTCATTGTCTCAAAGCTGAATGTGTTGGACTTATTCCTCTAATCCCAAGTAATTTAAAAAATGCTCAAGAATGGATAAGATACTTTTTTCTTCACCACAGGTGAAGCTAATTAAATACTGCCTCATTGTGAGGGGTTTTTAATCTGTTTACTATAGTGTGAGTTGTAGCTTTTCCTTGCCAAATCTTCTGGCTACGCACCAGATCTGCATTCTAAACTATGTGAAATGCTCTAGGCAATCCCTATGAAATACCATGATAAACACTGATGGCATTTTCTTGTCATTTCAGATAGTGAGCCACTTAACAATAAATAACATCTTTATTTTTTATAGTGCCTTTAAATCCCCAGGATCCCAAAGCACTTTGAATGCTGCTGAAATATGAAGATGTATTGTAATGTACATAGACAGTGCTGTGATTTGAGTTGGAATGTCTTAGGCTCTTGCAAAGGAATGAACCGGCATAGACAATACCTTGATTAGACTTTAGGCTTATTTCAAATATTTCCAAGCCCCATGTTCTGCTATGTGCTCAGAGAGTCCCACTCTCAAGGGAGGGGACTATGGAGCAAGGCAGTGATCTTTGTGCATGGAGCTCACTGCTGGATGGGGAGCAGAATCTGCCAGAATCACACCCCCATTTGAGCTGCACACCCGAAACACACCTTGTTTGTGTTTCTTGACTATAACATACAGCCTTCATTAAGACAGTGGGTGATTAGCAATCCTTTCTGTTCTCTCCATTAATAGCAGAGCAAGCCACTCTGGGAAGTCTGTCTTGCAGGCTTTTCAGAGACCACCTGAGCTTAGTATTGCCAGTTGCTCAATTAACGAGTTACAGTCCATGTTTCAGGATTTGATCATTTGTTTGCTGGGGGAGGGGAGATGTCATGGAGTATTCACAGCCAGTCCTTTGTGATGCAGGCACTCAGGGGTCTGGACTCTGCCTGGTCAGATGTCGGATCATCAGCAATCTTTATCAGTCTGAACCAATGGTCAGTGCAGCCTAATGGGTAGAGTCAATGATGGTAGCCCTTGGTTCAAGGCAGCACAGCATAATGGCTAGGGTCTGTGAGGGTAACTTAGTTCAGGGGAGCACAGCCCAGTGACTAGAGTCAGGGATGTGAGTGTCAGAGTGCCCCACCACTCGCTCAGCGGGTAATCCTACCGCAATACGCCAAGCTCACTCACATGGGAGATATCACTCCCACACCCTCCCTGGGTCACCTCCTACCACAGTCGATGCAGGAGCACGCCATGTAGTCTCTGGGTCCTCCAGTTCCCCAGCAACAGCCTCTCTCTGGTGCTTCTCCAATGCTGACAAGTCAGGGCAGTCTCCTGGGTTTCTGGATACCAACATCCAGGTCTCTGGCTGGAGTGTCTCTGAAGCTCCTGCAGGAGGACCTTCTCTTTCAGTGTCCAGTCAAGACTGAGCTGAGCAGAGCTGCTCTTTTTTATAGTGATTCAGCATTTAGAGCATGCCCAGTCTGAGTGGAGCACCGGCACTTCCTCTGCCCACAGGGTTTTAACCCCTTCTATTTCAGTGCAGGGTATGCACACCCCCATCGCAGGTGGATATTCACTGGGCTTCTTTAAAAAGTCACATGTATGCTGTTTGTATAAGAACCCATTCCAAATAGGTAGAAGTATCCTTATAGAATAAAATAGAGCTTTTCTGTAGCACATACAGAATTATTTTATGAAGGAATCTGCTTACTGCTTTATGCTGTGCAAAATGCTGTTTGTGTGCATCAAAGCAGTAAGCCTGGCTCTACAGCTGCTGAGTGTACTGTGAGATCTCAGAACTTGCTGTTCCACTCATGATTATTTATTTAGCCTTTTTTGCTAAAAACAATCTATACAGAGAAAAAAAGATTTTAGCTCTAGTGTCATTTGTGTCTCTTTTCTTTGGTAACTGCCTCTGAGGGAAGCGCAAAAATTAGCTTCCTATTAAATATAGGTTGAGGTTTTCAAAGGTAATGAAACAAAACAGATTCCCTGTAAGTTGAAATCCTAATAAGGCTGACTTCAAACTGGAGGAATCATTTTCATTGCCTGTACAATACCTATCACAATGCAGCTCTGGCCGAGAGCCCTGTTCAAATAGATAGTATGGCCCAAATTTGCAGATCAGACTGTGTAATTAATTAACTAACTATATTTACACAGTCATCATTGTGTATGTAATGAGGAGTAATAACTCTCATAGGAGCTGTATGGGACTGAACACCAGCAATGCCTTTAAGGAAAAGGCCAAGAACAGAATTGGTAAATCACAGTGAGACCTGACAGCAGATTCATTAATTCAAAAGTCAGAGCTAAACTTTTAAGAAATGGCTGGCTGAGAGTTGACAAATCGTGCTTTTCTATATCTCTCCTATTTGTTCCATTAAAACTCTTTTTAATATGGATCACTTGGGTTTAGTTAGGCCCCTTCACGTCTTTCTGGGGCATCTGCTTGCAATGGTTTAATAAGAACATCTGAATGGATAAGAAGTAAGGAGAAGATTATATTGCTGGCAAGCACCTCCATTTACCGACAAATATATTCTAGCTCAAAATGTTTTGAGGGACGATAATCTAGTTTACATTCAATTTATCTGATGTCTGCAGAAAGCCCTGAGGAACTTTTGGCATTTGTTATACAAAAGTCATTTACGGAATGGATTTCCTATAAGAGTCTCAAGATGCTGAAATTAGTTCTTCCTTATTTTTCTTTTCTTTTCTTTTCTTTTCTTTTCTTTTTTTTTTTGCAGATGAATGCTTGGTCAAATTATTCCTAATTTCCAGACTGTTGGCAGCAAGAAGGTATACAAGTTGCCTGAGATACTGGGAGTGTTTGAGGCCAAGAGGTACAAGCTAACCTACCAAACGCACACACACTGTTCTATATGACATGGAATGCAGAATAACATCAATGAAATTTATGTTAATGATGTTCCAGGGTAGGCCTAGGAATTATTCAAACACCAAAGGACTTGATAATAGACTAACATAAACAGAAGCATCTGTCTTACTGAAGGACTGCCTAAGAAAACGATTGTAAATGTTTAAGCTTTTATGCTAACCATAATCTGGGGAAGGAAGGCTTAGGGGCTTGGTATTCTTTTTGGATGGGCATTATTAATGTAGTCATTCTAGAAGCCATTCCAAGTAAGCATTTTAATTTACATTCTAGCTTGGCCATCAATATATGCCACAGAAATGGAAGTTGAAGCCTAAAAGCTGCTGTAACTAGTTCTGTGAGAAGTTAGGAGTCACTACAATCTATTTACGCAAAGGAAAATGTTCCATGGATCTTTAGGATCACTTTGTACTGTTGACATAGCCATGACATGGTGTGCGATCAGGAATTCAAGGAAGCTGAGCTCATCTGCAGCCCCCATTGACTTCAGTGGAAAATGCCGGCACCTTGTTCTTCTGAAACTTAATAAAGGTACTGTCCATTATAACCTCTGCAATTCGACAGAAAATATTACATGTAACTTTGTATGTTTGTCTAAGTTTATAGAAAGGCAAACTGGGACATTGCAGGGTCTGAAAACTAAAGACCTCATTTATTTCTGCTTTTATTTGTGCTAGTTCCTAAAGATAGCAGTCCAGGAGCTGGTTGTACACACATAACAAAAAGACAGTACCTGCACCAGAATTTAATTTTCTAACTAAAACTGGATTATAGTGCATAAACCCAAAAGGCACTACGTGACTTGCATAATGTTCTTCACTCTTGTTTTCGGACCTTAGAGTGCTTACCCATGATCATGTGCAGATGTGTTTAATAACAAATATACCCTGTGCACTATTTAAGACTAAATTGCCTCTCTTGTGTGTTCCAGTTGACAAGGGAAATCCTTGGCAAGCTTAAACACTAAAAGGAAGCTTATAAGAAGTGGAAACTTGGACAGATGTCTAGGGAGGAGTATAAGTATATTGCTCGAGAATATAGGGGAGTGATCAGGAAGGCAAAAGCACAATTGGAATTTCCGCTAGCAAGGGATATGAAGGGTAACAAGAAAGGTTTCTAAAGGCATGTTAGCAATAAGAGGGTGATCAGAGAGGGTGTGGGGCCCTTCCTGGATGAGGATGGTAACCTAATGACAGGTGATGTGGAAAAAGCTGAAGTACTCAATGCTTTTTTTGCCTCTATCTTCACAGACAAGGTCAGCTCCCAAACTACTTTAGTAGGCAACTCAGTATGGGAAAGAGGTAATTATTTGGATAACCAGGCTCAAAAAAATATGGATCCTCAAATATATCTAAATACTTTCATAAAGGTATCCTGGAAAACCCTCATAGTGTAGACATAGCCCCAGTTTAAGACAATGGGGGCGTAGAGGCATCCCAAAGGGCAAAAGTGGATACTACTTTGAACTGGAGGTAGTAAATATCTCTGGATGAAACATTGTCTCCTTTCATGGCTCTATACACTGATTATGAAGTAAAGAAAATGATGAATTACTCAAAGTTTTGGGTATGGAAAGATAAAAAAGATTTAAAGAAATATAATCTATGTTAAATGGCTCTGTAATCCATGTCTGACATGATGGTTATTTTTGTGACAAATAGAGTTTGTGGACCTTCATTCTGTTGGTTCCACCATTCTTAGTGACTCCTTTTTACTTCATATCTTATCTTGTGGTGTTGTTTTTTTTTACTTTCAAAAAATAATGGAGCATTAGCTGATTACATGGTTTGTCTTTAATGACTATTTTTATTTCCATCCAATATTTTATTCATTTATCTATAGTTTGATTAGTTTTGTATTATGTATATAAAATTGTCATTGTCTTATGGATGTCTTATTTTAACCTTACCAGTCTGGCTGCTGACTGACTGTACACAGTAACCAGGCAAGGGCAAGCAATCACACATATTCAGGAATACCAGTTTTCAAGGAAAAAAATCAGACTTTTTCATACAAAGGGTTAGCTTGTGGCTTGAATAGATGTACAATGAAAGGTAGGTACAAGTTGACTTCATCCTCCTCGTCCTCCTTTTCCAAGGTGAGAAAAAGGCTATGATATTTTTCTAGCAAACCAGAAATGAAGGAATAAAGAAGTGGCTGCAAGCTTCCTATTTCTCCTGCTAAGGGGCTTTCGCTCCCTGTCTAGCCAAGAAGGCTAATGGAATATTGGGATGCATTAGAAGCATTGTCAGCAGATCTAGGGAAGTGATTATTCTTCTTTATTCGGCTCTGGTGAGGCCACATATAGAGTACTATGTCCAGTTCTGGGCCCCCCCACTATAGAAAGGATGTGGACACATTGGAGAGGGTCCAGTGGAGGGCAACCAAAATGATGAGGGGGCAGGAGCACATGACCTATGTGGAGAGGCTGAGGGATTTGGGCTTGTTTAGTCTGCAGAAGAGAAGAGTGAGGGGGGATTTGATAGCAGCCTTCAACTTCCTGAAGGAAGGTTCCAAAGAGGATGGAGAGAGGCTGTTCTCAGTAGTGACGGATGGCAGAACAAGGAGCAATGGTCTCAAGTTACAGCGGGGGAGATCTAGGTTGGAGATTAGGAAACAATATTTTACTAGGAGGGTGGTGAAGTACCAGAATGTGTTACCTAGGTAGGTGGTGGAATCTCCATCCCTACAAGTTTTTAAGTCTCGGCTTGACAAAGCGCTGTCTGGGATTGTTTAGTTGGGACTGGCTTTGGGCAGGAGGCTGGACTTGATGACCTCCTGAGGTCTCTTCCAGCTCTATGATTCTATGACTAATGTTCTCAAAAATACATAGGAAGTTATTTTGACCTATTGTGCACCTGGATTTACTTCCCACAAGACATGACAGTTCTCACAAAGAGAATACAGAGTCCTGAAACAGAGACTGGGCTTGAGAAAGCAAACTGTATTTAAAAATTCCTTTGAACAAGTTTTAGAAAACTCTCAAAAATGTGGTAGTTCTCTGGAGCACAATTTATTGAATAGAGAGAGAGATCCATTGGAGGAAATCATTTTTTTGTAAACTTCACAAACCATTTCCAATCAGATCAACTGAAATTGGATGACAATTGAACCCATGGAGAGATTCTTCCTAGACCGGTGTACAAAACACTGAAAAATCCACGGTTACTTGTGGAAGATGGTTTATGATTAAAAACTTAGAACTTCCCTTTGCTCATTGTCCCCTCTTATAATGATGGATAATTGACCCTGGTTACAATATTTTAGGTTGATCAATTCAAGAGCGAGGTGATTTGGACAAAGCTCTCGGTCTGTATTGTCACCTTTTTAGCTGAACCAGATTCTTCTCTCCTGCCAGTTTAATGGATTGTGCTATAGCAAAAAGGACATTGATCCACAAAAAGCAGCAGTTAGAACAGTTGCTGATTATTCCTTCAAACAAAATGTTTTTCAACTCATTTTATCTTTCTGGGAGATGCCTGTGAAGTTAATAGAGATGGGTTTATTATATTTTAATTTAGAGACATATTCCGCCCTTTAGACTTGATTTGGCAAATGGGGCCTTTCTGGTTGAGCTAGATATTTAAATATCAGCATCTGTTCATTTAAAGGGTTTTCAAGATTGCAATGGTGCCTAGAGGCTCAGTCTTAAGTAAGGAAACTGCTGTGCCGGAGAGTTCAAGAGGAAAATCAGACTCCTAATTCCAATCCAGTGTCCTTCTTGTGCAAGAGGAAAATAAACAAAAACTATCCCAGGCTTCATAAAATTGTTTTCATATGCCCAGCAACATTCTTCCAAACAGCACATGAGGGAGGATTCCTGTCCCAGAACAGCCCTTCCCCCCCACTTTTATTACATTTGTACCTCCGTTAGTCTAAACTCCATACCCAGAATACAACCCAGGAATTTTCTGTTTCAGTGTAAGGAATGTCTTACACCATTGCATGGCCAGCCGGGACCAGAGCACAATTCAAGATGCCCAGTTTTTGATTAACCACGTGTTCTTAACTCACACAGTGTATGTAATATATATGGATATTGATAATATCTCTCAAAGCTTAAAAAAGTGCATCGTAATAATCAAACAGTCAGAGAGCGAGAAACCAGAGTGGGCCAAAGAACAGGCAACACAGCCAGCTTTCATATGGGAGAAGATAAATAGCCCACCATATGGAGTTAGATCATTCTAATATTAACTGTGGACTTTTCAATGTTCTCCTAAAGCCACACTGCAAACTCAAAATCCAGTCTATTTAAAAAATGAGCTAAAAATACTTTCATCTGCTTCATGGGCCGTTGCCAATTTTTGTAGTTTTAGCAGCACCTTCTCTTATTTTTAAAAAAATATATTTTTCCTCAAATAAAATAAGAAACTGACAGTATGGGGTAATAGTGAAAATAACTATCCATGGTATTCTCACAAAA